GGAATAAAAAATGGCATGGAGCACTTTCGGAATACAGATAATGTTTGATGGTATATGGAAAACTGCACTTGGATTTAAAACCGAAAGTTTTCAATCAATATGTGCTCTCAGTATTAACCTGTGAGCAGAAAACGTGGAACCAGAGCTTGAAAGCTATTCTCAAACTACAGACTATGCAACATGGAAGAATGCATGTTTGAAATAGCAAGAAAAATAGGAAGACCAAATGAATGGACTGAATCATAAACAAGGGTGTGTGATGCCATCGCACAAGTGAAGAAGCTAAAGTAGCATCTAGACATAATTCTACAACGCGACCAAATCGGTAGGCCATCAATCTGAGTGACTGAGCAAGGCACTTTTCCTTCAATAAAAAGTAGGAATCAAACCTTATTGTCTGAATATCTACAGGTGCACAAATGTGTAAAAATTAAGCGTGAATGATTATCACTATTCATTATTAAATAAGTTCATAAGGAACCATAGAGGTTGCGAGTAAATCTAGCTTCGACATTACCGTAGCGTCTCTTAATCCATCTTGAAAGCAAAGAATGAACGTTTGAACACTTGAGCATTTCATTAAAGCCATAATTTTAAATAAAACAAAAACAGAAAAGATCAGTGCTACCGGACAGTAAAGCCAACATCTATTGTACTAAATATGAACGACAGTTCTCAAAAAGCCGTTGACAACTTTTAGCAACAGAAACAGTCTTTCTGTTTCCGGGTGCAACGTTTTTTGAAAAAAGAAAAGCGCAGAGGCCATTTTCATTAAGCAGGGAATTACCAACGTTACTATAAATCTTTGAAGTAAATCTGCTTCGCTACAACAAATGGCCTGGTGACGGAAGGCGAATTCAATTAGTGAATATCTGAAAATTTCAAAAATCTTAGCTTCGAAATCTGCGATTAGAAGGAACTAGAAAACTGGTACAGCGAAGGTGAACACTGCTGTTGCGTTCTCAGTCATTACAAGTGCACGTTTAACAGCCGTGGCTTTAGACATAAATGAAAAACGTCATCGAAAACATTTCAATTTTGTGTCTCATTGTTCAATAAAAGTGATTTCCGTCTCAACGGCTTCAGACACAAACAATAGACTGAACTCTTGAAGAAGAAAGTCTATATTCGAACTGCCGAAGTTTTACAGAAACATCAGCCATCCTCAGGTTAAGCAATTCAAGATTGATTTCCCTAATATGGCTAATTGATTAGCTGGAATGTCGACAATTCGAATAAACATTCTAATAATGGTAAATCGTTTGCGTCTGGGGTCACTAATTCACTACCATTACAAAATGAAACAGTATTAATGGAATGGAATCGCCAAACAATCAAATTTTACGGTTAAAAAAAAAGGAACCGACTGTTGAAAACAACAATATGACAAGAGCAGAGAACTGCAGTTCGATGTACACAATTAACTAAAATAAATTAAAAATATACCTCTGCAGAACTAAGTACTTAAGACATAATTTTTGAAAACTTCTCTTCTCTTCGTATTAAGGATTACGATGAAGCGACAGAAATTTTTCGGGTGCAGATGACTTTTCAGGTACTATGTCGGATGGGAAAATCGAAGAGGAAAATACAATGAAAAGCTGTCAAAAGATACTTTCCACATGGAAGTCTCCAGTGCTGTCGACAAGCCCATAAAACGGAGGTTTGAATGGCACCACCGCGTAAATATGTACATATGTGCAAAGTATACTGTTGTACCACCGAGTTTTTACCTCAACAGGCAAACCAATAAACAAATCTACCACTATTGCAACCAGTAGAGAATTATGACGGAAAATCAATCAGGACAAACAGGAAGAGAACTATATCACGTTGACATACGTCAAGTAGTACTGCATAACTTCACTCTGGCTTTAGATAAATCGCATTGACTCTGGGATACGGATTCTTCCATATCTTCCACCACCTCTGCTACAGGTCTGAACAGAGAAATGCCTACATATCTGATCACAGATACCACATCTCTTGATGAACTTTGAATTCTGACAGTTAACTACTTAAATACAATTACACCTACACCGAAAATAAGATAAAATAAGAAAAACTGAAGTGCAGAAAAGAATTAGACAATAATAAAAAATAGAAATTGGGAACAAGGCAGGATTATCATAGGTCAAGGTTACTGGAGTATTTAACATTAACATAGTACGATGATATTTAACTGAGTAGCAGTCATGAAAAATTAATGTAGAAATAATAGATTTTCGCTAGAGCACTGTTATGGCATAAATATTACTATATCGGTATCTGGTGGACGTGCAGCGCGACAAGCACCGCGCAAAGAAGAAGAAGGAACAGGAGGAGAAACACTCTACAACGATACACGTTTGCTCTTCTTAATTTTTTAATGCCCTAGAAAGAAAAGGTAATATTCACCTGCCGCAACCCTCAGTGTGTGCTGGAATGGCGTTCACTGTGCTTGTATCATTTGAATGCAAAGGGCAACTCGTTTGAACATGACGAGTGAGGGACAGCGGTCATGCATCCGGCAACGAATTAACATATAACTGCGTTGCATAGACCACAGATGATCCAACCCGTCAGGTCAGCCTACGATGCAACGAATGGGCATTATTGCTAAGAATGTTGTTGCCCATGCGAATATGGTATGCAAGTGTGAATCCGACAACAAGTAATGCCAAATCGTTTTAATGGAGCCAAATAAGTCTTGAAACAAGTTTCTGATTTTCGTATGACCTTGAAGTGACAAATTAATTATACGAATTATCCATGAAAGACTTTAGCTGCTTCATACATGAAGATTCGAATTACATATATACAAACGAAGCTCACAGTCACCCCCTCTTTAACGCAAGTAAATGAGTGTTTTCGTGCAGAATGATGACCTGTAACATAGATTAATTAATTTCTGATAAAATTCAATTGAAATTTATTTGCTGAATATTCATTAAAGGATCGAACAAGCATAAGTCATGCACCTCGTCCAGTTGTGAGAGAGAACAATGCAATGATTTGTGCTTAGCCCAGCCCTGATGATGCTACGGTCTATGTAGTGAAACGCGTAGGCAATAACGGTTTTCCCAGCCTTCAACTGCCAGTCTATAAAATTACAGATCCAGAATCAAAATCATGAAATGCCATTTATATTTACACTACAACTTTATTCAAAAACAAACTACTGAGTACGAATTAAAGCAATGACGCCTATGATCGAACGTCAAGCTGCAACGATGCAACGAAACTGCAAGGTCAGCATTTGAGTCAGATGTGAATGCCGAATGACAAGTCAAATAATAAATTTTTTAATAATATAACTGAATTAAGCGATGAAGCAAAGCATCAGAAAGTCTGAATAGGGGATTACTTCAAGTTTCAAGCGCAAAGCTATAATTATGTACAGGCAGATGAAGCACGAGACAACCGAAAGATTCCCATGTCACCAAGCACCAGATAAGCTAGCACGAAAAACAACACTTCAATACCGCACAAAGCATATAGCTGAGAGACTGGAACTGTGCAAGAGAAATAAATATGACATTAGCAATAATGATACCGGAATGAAACAGCGAAAATATATACAGAGTAATGAAAATGAATTTCATTCTTTACTCCAGTACTGCGGCAGTGTAATAAGGATGGAAGTCTTACCGCAGTATTGTACAGACCCTTTGCATTGTAATAGTCGCCTATGACGCCA